CAGCCTCAAGTTTTACTTGCTTTTTGCCACCCGAGTACATGAAAGATGGAACTGATGGTACTGAAAACACTTTGGTGGAAACGTTTTCACCCTATAACCACGACATTTGTGAAAGTAAACATTTCCATCCTCCTTGTTTCTTCTGCCATTTATTTAATATTCCTTTTTTAATGTTTATTTTTTTATTTTGGGGAGAGAGAGACAGAGTACGAGTGGAGGAGGGGCAGTGAGAGGGAGACACAGAATCGGAGGCAGCTCCAGGCTCTGAGCTGTCAGCACAGAGCCCGATGCGGGGCTCGAACCCACAAACTGTGAGATCATGACCTGAGCTGAAATTGGATGCTTAACCGACTGAGCCACCCAGGCGCCCCCATTTCAATATTTCTAAATGCTGTATTTCTCCTATTTATTGATTCATCAAACATTGATTGGCTTCTGCCTCTGACCCCCCCAGGACCCCCTGGCTTGCTCCCCTCTTCCTCGCTCTCACCTTCCCAGAAAAGTTACAGCATAATCTTTACTGTGCCTGCTGCTCCTCCTTCCCGAGTACTTGTGTCACAATATTGTGTTAACTTGATAGTTTATACATGATTGTGACTGTTTCTAACTTCTGATCCAAATATGATACCATGATTACATTTTTTCCTTACACAGCTTTTATATTCCCTCAATTAGAAATTGACATTTTGGGGCGCCTGGGTGGCTCAGTCAGTTGAGCACCCAACTCTTGGTTTCAGCCCAGGTCATGATGTCACGATGCATGGGATAGAGCACCGCGTCGGGCTCTGCCCTGGCAGCACGGAGCCTGCATGGGATTCTCCCTCTCTCTCTGCCCCTCCCCCATGCATGCTCACTCTCTCAAAATAAAGAAACATTTTTCAAAAAAGAAGTTACCTTTTTAATTATCTTAAAGTTTTATGCACCTACAACTGGTTTTGTTCTCCCAAATGCTTTCATGTATCTATCAAATGCCATATCTATTGACATCTCCAAACCTGAAAGCCATCAATAAACTCTGAAGTTTCATGTTTTTGACAAGACTATGGCCTTCGTCTTGCAGCTCTGGCAGACCCGTCACAGGGGCAGGTCATTTCCCGCTCCTCTGTGTCAGTCCTTCTGCCATGCGTTGGATCTGACAAGCTTCTCTTCCTTCATGTGTTCCTCATCTTTCTAAGGCACTTTCTTCAGTCGTCTTCTGAGAAAGGGTGTGTGGAAAGCAAAGATTTCGAATCCCTGAGTGTTATCCCTAAGTATGTAGGTATTCTGCCTATATAAATGTTGGTAATTTTTGTGGGTATAAAATTCTATGTTGGAAGTTATTTTCTCTCAGAATTTTTAAATTCCACAGTTTTTGAAGGTCCCTGACTTTCCAGTGTCCGAGTTGCTATTGGGAAATCCAGTCCTCTTCTTTTCTGGTAAATTCCTTGCCATTTCTCCAGTTGCCTTCGATCTTCCAAATACATGTTGTAATTCTCTTCTGCTCTCGCCACTCCTTCCAGTAGCCTTGTGATTTGGGGCTTATAGCACTTTTTATTCCTGGTGTGAATAAATAGGAATCTCGTGTGGCCTGTCCACCATGTTTCATTAACGTCCAATGACATCTTTTTGTTTCCAAGTGTTTAAACCCATGCAATTCCCTTTGCATATATTTTGACACTATTTCTATAAGCAACCCTAGGAGTACTTAGTAACATTCCCATATGATAAGAACGAGGCTCCGGGAATGTGACTAGCTTCCTTAGGCTCAAAGAGCCAGCATGTGACAGATTCTAATTTAAAATCAGATTTTTCCCACTCTTCCTGAGGCATAAGGATCACATTCAGTGATGCCTTTGTGATGGTGGTTACTAATAATGAGTCAGACCATAGCTTCCCTGTATCTTGCTACAGTAAACTAACACCACTGAGTGATGTGAATTTTATTCCTTTGAACTATTCCCTGAGCCACAAAATACAGGCTTTCCTCTTCAGTCACTCCTGTTATTCCACAACAGAAATTGGAACACCTAAAATTGAATAATTGCTGGTGATCTGATTCATTCAAATAGTGGAGTGTATTAGAAGAGACAAGGAAAACTGAAATCACGGTGTTCGGGTCTGAAGGAAAATATACCTTAATATATAATGGTGCCATTTCAGAGTCCAACACACAATGAAATAACTCCTCTTTGAAGCTTTTACTCACATTCTCTCATAGGGAAAAAACAGCATTCTCTAATTTGAAAAAAAAATATAAGGGATTGCTTTCAAAAGTCCAATGTTTTGAAGACATTTCAGTCTTTTCAGCTAAGTGGTTACTCTCAAAAAAGGAAGGTGGCTCTCCGACCAGTATTTATGCATAAGCACCCATACCTAGTAATATATGGTTTGTTTATATGTCATTTTGACTTCCAGTGGTTGTAAGAGCATTGTCTAATGCTTTGTGTCCAATGATAGGTTCTCAAAGGGAGTTTTCAGGTAATACTTCCTGAAGGGTCTGTCGGTCTTTGTCAGACAAGAGTTTGCCCATTGCTTTTCCAAGCTGAATATCATGTTCTCTTTGTTCTTTATCACCTGATTAGCCCCATTCATAGCTTCATGTACTTTAACCCCAAGAAAGGGAGGAATTTTGGGGTCCAACAGTGGAAAGATGAAAGTAGGCAGGACATCCTCTGATCTGGACTCTCGGGCTTCTCATCTGTGAAATAAAATCATACATCTTCAAGCCCTCTCCCAACCCTTGAATGCTGTGTCTACACCGTTAATGAATCAACTCCACTTACGTATCTAAATCAGTCCCCCCTGCTTCAGTACATGTGTGACTGTGAGAGAATCCATTCTTTAATGTATTTAACATATATTTGTTGGACGTCATACTCAGAGCTGGGTATACAGTGGCAGATGAACAAACACGGCCCTTAGTCTCATTGGGTCTGCAGTGCAGGAAGAAAGGCGTACATATACAAACTCTCCAATAAATAATTGTGATATGTGCTGGGAAAAAATAACAACAGAGTGCTGTAAGAAAGAATAATAATTAAAAAAAAAAATCGTTTAGACAGGAAATGGGGAATGTTGCCAAGAATCCTTTGTTGAAGAAATGACAAAAGACCCAAAGGTTTCTTCCCTGGCTAGCCAAGTGGAGAGTAATAGAGACAGCATTCCGGGCATGTAGGAGAGTGTGTGTGGCAGACCCTGAGGAATTAAAGAGTTTGTGCGTTCAGGGAACTTGTAGAAGGCCATGTGGCTAGAGCATGGGGAACAAGGGTGTTGGCCTGAGATCAAGGCAGATACGGGCTCCCACCAAATCATACTAAGCCTGCCTGCCTTGCTGAACACTTTGTATCATGTCAGAAAGATGGGAAGAACCTACCGAAAGATGTTTACACGAGAGGGGGAGGGGATTCTAGCACGTTTGTAAACGGAGAAGAGGGCGGAGAAGAGGGTGTGTTTCACATATGATCTTGGGGTCTCCTCATTTTGCTTCTGAGGCCAGCTGTGTCTGCAGTGGGTATGTGAGGCCCCACGTCTCAGGGTATGTGGTATTGTTATTGATGCCTACGAGATGTAGGGAGTTCCGTTGCCTCCCCAGTCATCATCTTGAGCAACATTCTTCATGTGGGTACAGTTGCAGCTGGGTGTCCCACAGACCCCGAAGGACATAAGCCAAACGTTTAAAATAACCTCCTTGAAGCCGCTGAAGGTAAGACTGAGTAGACAAGAGGGCCCCATCCTTCTCACTTAGTGGGAGGAGCAGGATGAAAGTCATAGTGCCTCAGCCGCTCCACAAGGAACCCTCTCCAGCCTTCACCTTTCTCCCTTCTCATTTTTAAAAATTTTTAATGTTTATTTTATTTTTTGAGAGGGAGAGAGAGACAGAGCATGAGCCGGGGACAGAGGTGGGAGGAGGGCAGAGAGAGAGGGAGACACAGAATCCAAAGCAGGCTCCAGGCTCCGAGCTCTCAGCACAGAGCCTGATGTGGGGCTCACACCCACAAACCAGGAGATCATGACCTGAGCCCAAGTCGGACGCTTCACCGACTGAGCCCCCCAGACGCCCCTTTTCTAGTGTGCTGATGTGCTTGGTTATTCAAGAGCTCTATGCTGCATTTTGGCAGCCCATTTTTGAGGACTGTTAAGAGCCTACCAGCTCGCTCTGTTTCATGCCTCTTGTCTTGGACCAAGTGGAAGCAGAAAACGTCCCACACTGACATCGTCGCCTAGCCTCCCTCCAACTGCTCTGTAAGACATAGAATATGCTGGTGGCTGATGCCCCTCCTGTCTCCCTGAGGCCCCCGTGCCAGCCATCTTGTCTATCCCCCCGCTCTGCTGCCTTGAGCCTCACTGCAACAGCGTGGTCACCAGGGTGCCCCACTCCTCTCCAGGGTGCCACTTCTTCCCACCCCATCATGACACCCTGTCCTGTGGAGCCTTCTGTCGCAGGAGGCCGTGTGACTCCCATAGCAGTGCTCTCACAGCCACCCACCTCCTCTTCCTCTTTCACCAGACAAGAGCTGGTGTCAGATCCAGCCCTCTGGCCCCACTTTAAGTACCACCAGCCCCCCTCTCACACAGACCATGCTGCTTCCTCTATATCGGCCATTTTTCTGAAGCTCAGACTCTGTGATAGGAAGTCGCGTAAAACTGGGCAAAATTTCCAGCACTTCTACTACTTGGCAAGACATACAGAAGAACACAAACAGGCGGCCTCCAGAAAGAGCAAAGAAAGAAGCATTTCCTAGCTTGAGCTGAGTGGATGGTGACATGGAGGAAGCTGAGATATTCTGAAGCAGTGAAGACAAAGGGAGTAGGAAGAAAGCAGAGCTGGTACCTCAGTAGAAGATGTGGGAGAAGGTAGAAGAATCTACCGCAGTATCTTGTCCGTTCCAAATGCCTCATGCTAAAGTGTAGAAAAGAAGACTTACCCGGGGTTTGGGAGGAACCACTTTTCCAGGGGCTTCATGCTGGTGGCCGGGTAAAGGCAGGTTGTATCCTAACGAAAGCTCGCGCGTGTCTGGCAGGAGCAAACGCTAAGCATGGGCTGCGCTGCAAGGCCTGTAAGATGAGCCTCCACCACAAGTGCATGGACGGCCTAGCACCCCAGCGGTGCATGGGCAAGCTGGTAAGGGCTGGTGCCAGGGGTGAGCCCAGAACACCCTGCACGGGCAGACCCCCTCCTCGCAGCACCCGAGAGGCAGACACCAGGAAGGCGGCCCCAGAATCCGCAGGCTGCCAACCGGGCTTCCTTGTTGGCATAATGATCAAGCAGAAGAGGAGCTTTATCAACCTAAGAGACAAACGTTCCCCACGTGACGAGGGCTCGGGGTCCTTAGCAGAGTGACCAACTTGTCCCGGGTTGGAACTTTTTCAGTGTGAGCACTGGAAAGCCTACATTCTGTGACAGTCCATGCTTTAAAGATGAAAATCAGGCATTCCAGGAACCCCCTCAGCCCAGAAAACCTAGGGTGGCTGGTCACCTCTGTGCTTCATTGGTTGACCGCTCAGGGGATGTCAAGAAGGGGAGAGAGATTAGCCTTCAAAAAGGGAAAGAGTAATAAAAATCGACACACCACTTTAACAGACCTTGGCTGCCAAACCAAGGAAGGCCAGGTGGCCCTGGCCGATTCCAGGCTGGTCTGCCATCTTGGAAATGTAATGGGCTGGTCTGCCATCTTGGAAGCATGGGCTGCCACATGTTGATTAAAAGGAACCCAGAGCACTTTTGAAGGTATTGAAACTAGGATGGCCAAAGAGCTGTCGAAGGGACAAGAATGTCTACCCTAGCGATATTTAGGCTATGAGAGCTGTCTTCAAAAAAATTTAAGACCTGAGAATTCTGTCCTGCTCTGTGGCTCCAGGGGAAAGACTTAGTATCAGTAGCTGCCCAGTCTTAACAACCAGAGACAATGTCACCAAAGACCTGCTTCCAGGGTTACTGAGCACTCTGCCACCACCCCCCACCTCCCCATCCCTGGCAGTGTTCAAGAAAAAGGAAGATACCACCTGCCAGGAACATTGGAGAGGATTCTAGAAATCTAATAAGGTCTGGGCCACAAAGTTCCCTTCCAACACTGGGATAGAGTCAGCCAGGGTTCTTAGAGAGCTCATCTCCTTACTCTGATTGGCAGTATCCTCTTCTCTAAAACCCCTGCCTCACCTGCCCCCCCATGGAGTTCCTGTAAGCCAAAGCAGAGACCGTGAATGGGGGGGTCAGGAAAACATAACAGAGTCTAGAACACAAGGCAGATGGCTCTGGGCTGGACTTGTCATTTATACAAGGGCCTTTCGGCCTCCCTATCAGGTCTGCTTCCCCTTTTTCCAGCCCTTTGGTGATTTTAATAAACCTTAATAGTAAACCACGTTGAGATAATGCATGCCAGTCCATTTGTCTCCTGGGAGATGAGATTATGAGGAGCCTGGACGCAAGGGAGGCTGCTATGGTCTGCAGAAGGAGAGGTTCGGAAGGGAAGGGCAGGGCTTGCTGACTGCTACCTGTACCTCCCGCCCCCCACCCCCGGGGATAAATTATAAGACAAGCCAGCATCTTAAAGGGCGACACAGGGGTGCCCCCGGAGAAAGCAGCTGGTATTATTTTCAGAGCTCTTGTGTGGCACCCTCCGTCCCATCAGCGACATTAAGCCCTTCTCTTTCTCATTCTCTCTGCAGCCAAAAGGGTTTCGGCGTTACTACAGCTCCCCCTTGCTCATTCACGAGCAGTTCGGATGCATTAAGGAAGTTATGCCCATCGGTGAGTCGGGACACTGATGGGCTGAGCTGGGTTTTGAGCAGCACCGTCTGCGTTTGTGGCCGCCATTCTCAAAGGACCCTGGGTCCAGCGGGGGGTGGGGGACGGGGGTGTGCATCTGTCTGCTGGCTGATTGGGTTACAATTGTTCGCTTTGCTGGAAGGGAAATCTAAGGCGGAGCAAATTCTCCTCTCCCCCATGAAGCTTGGAAACACCCAAGTCCCAAAGGCTGCTGATACGCTGTCGCGCCCATCGGCAGCACGGGAGGGTGGAAAGAACATGGAGTGTAGCCTCTCACAGACCCGGCTCACAACCCAGCTTCCCCGCTAACCAACTAACTGTGTGTCTGGACAATTTACTCGACCTGTCAGCCCCCGTAAAGGGAAAACAGCAAAGGCTGCATTTCGTAATTGTTGTAAAAAACGATTGTAAATTATAGACCAATGTTTGGAAGGAACTCTGTGAATATCACTTATTCTTTAATGAGGACCAAGGAAATGTCTTATATTTATAGATATTTCTGGCTTGAATTTATTCTTTAACAATATCTTTCAGTTTACTTCCATTTCTCTCTCTCTCTGAGAATCCCTACGTCTATTTTTGCCTTTGGATGGGGGGCGGGTTTTAAACTAGAAACGTATAAGCCAGCAAGCTTTGAAAGAGAAATGCATGAGGCCCCGGTAATGCCAAACTCTTTCAACACTTGCCTCCTTATGGAAACGTTGGGTCTCGCCCAGAGCTTCACCCCTGCTGAGCAGAACCTCGCCCCAGAGGGAACAAAGCTGGTCCCTGGGAAGAACCTTGAAATTGGAGCCCTGGGGATAGATGACAAACAAGGAAAACCAATGAATCAGGAGGTATCTGGGAGCAGAGGGCTCTGGTTGTAAGTGATGGGACAGGGGAAGGACCTGGCCATTGAGCACATATTGGGGGGGGGAGTGGGGAGGGAGCATCTTCCGGGAAAGCCTGACCACACAGAGCTCCATTTTCCCAGGGACCAGTGGGTCTGCAGCACAAAGGCTTCTTCTCAAGTGCCGCTGACCCAGGAGACGTGATAAATGCTCGGCTGCATCCCTGATGGTGAGCCGAGGAAACGTGTCACTCAGATGACCTTTCTCTTCCGTTGCAGCCTGTGGCAATAAGGTGGACCCCGTGTACGAGACCCTCCGCTTCGGCACCTCCCTGGCCCAGAGGACGAAGAAGGGCAGCTCCGGCAGTGGCTCTGACTCGCCTCACAGAACCTCTGTAATTGTCCTCTAACCCCCTCTGTCCACCTGGAGCGCTCCGGGAGGGACGCTTCCGGCCCCACAGGGCAACGGGGTTCCCCCTCAATGCGTCAGGGGGGCAGGTCTGCTGGCAGTCGGGCAGCCTCCGAAGGGAAATCCTAAGTGCCTTGGGCCACTTGCCTTTCTGTTGCCAACACCCAGGGATCATTTCAGTCTCGTCCTCAAAGACCACGCTCTTGGCCTCCTTCTCCTTGGCTGTGCATGCACCCCCCCACCCCCCCTCCCACCACGAATAGATAACATGTCGGTCAACACACAGAAAGCTTTCACCCAAACAGCAGCAGGGACGGGAAGGTCCCAGCTTGGTCCAGTTCTCCTTCCAGCTACCTCCTAGCTCCCAAATCCAGCTCTTTCTCAGTCATTTCTCCCTAAGACGAGTTACTTCCATTGGCTTCACACAAGAGCTGCCCCTCCCCAGAGACACTTGACCTGTATCATAGTGGGGCCTGTTTCCATGGGACACTCACCCTCCCAGACACCTCTTCTACTTTTTACTTGGTCTCCAGTGACTGTTCCCATGCCCCCTCTGTAGCATGCCGCCAGCTACTGTCGCATCCCCTATCTGACTGCAGACTTCCAGGCACAGATGAGCCACCAGCTGGTCTGCCCAGCTGAGTCCTGTCAACATCAAATGATTAGAGCGGGTCGTGGGAAAAGGACGGGGCATACCCCAGAGAGGGGTTCTCAGGGGCTGAGCTGAAGCAGCTCCCTCAATGGGTGCAGGTTAATCCACAGGATAACCTACACTGTGGTCTGTGGGTAGATATGTAGGTCAGGTGGGTGAGTGGGTAGGATCGTAGGTCCTCTGACTGATGCCACATGGTTATCCTGGATGCTGCCTTTAAACTCCCTGAAAGCCTTGTCCTTCGTGCATCCCACTAAGTTCTAGGAGGGAAGAACCAAAACTTGTTTTACTCTTTGTCCTTGCTGGACATAAAATTTTGGTCCACGAGTTCTCCCTTTTACCCAGCAAACGTGAGTGAAACGCCTACAGTTCACTAGCGCTGCAGAGGACACAAAGGAAGGGGAAGACAGAAGTCACAGCGTGTTGCAGAAGACCAAAGCAGTGGAGAAGAAAGCAGATGGAATTATTTAGCATGTTTTAAGAAATACACGTTTATAGGTCTTGTACGATTTTTCTTAAGAATAAGACCACAGGTGTTAAGGGTGTTAGAATAACTAAGTCCCGTGAGCGCTGCAGGATTTCAGGGTACAGAGGGAATAGGTTTTAGTAGAAATTGCCATCAAGCAGTGCAGGTGTAAGTTGTGACATTTTAAGGTACTTGCACCTCATGATCTCTCTCAGGAGGCTATAAATCAAATCAGTCCCTATGATACTGTTAAATCATTTACTGAAAGAAGGGTAAAAGTGCTAAATGTGATGAAAACATACAGAGTACATGTGGATGGGATTTATCTTACATACAAATTGGTGACGGCTCTACATGGGTTGGTTAATAAGAGTATAAGTAAAGTTTCTAGCATAGGGCCTAGCGCTCAGTAAATGGCAGCTGCTTCTATTTTATTTTCATTAAGCTTCTGGCCCTTGAATTTGAGTTATTATGAAGTGAAACAGGGGTGCCATCCATTAGAAAGGCAGATATGTTGTCTGAGAAGGGCATTTCGCAGGCCATCCCTTAACGGGGCCCATGACGGAGCTCCGCAAGAGGCTGGACACCCCCCAGGGTTCTGCCCTCCTCTCCCGCTCAGCCCATCTCCTCTGACGCTCCTCCACTCACTCCTTAAGCCAGGGCTGTTCCGAGGGCTCTGCTTTGGCTTGGCCATTCTGTGCTACATGCTCTTCCAGGTTATCTCGTTCAACAATTGCATTCTTGCTCCACATTCCAGCCGCCATGTCTAGGCTGATGACTCCTGAGATACTTCCAGTCGTAACCTCCTGTCCAAGTACCAGATGGGTCCTACAGACATCTCCAAGCTAAACTGATGGTCCATTGGTGATTGGGTCCTCTCACTCAGAACTCAGACATGTGCCCTTTTTCTCTGTCCCCAGTGCTGGAGGTTTGAATCCCATCATCTCTCACCCAGATTATTTCAAAGAAATAGCTGTGTTCCCCTCTTCCTTTTGAGTCTACTCTTACCAATACCTCCAGATTTCTCTTCTTTTGAAAAATTCCTTGTGCAGTTTTCCTGATTGAAACACTGTATTGAGTTGCTTACGCCCAAACTCTAGCCTGGCAGATGAGGCCTGTCCCTGCCCTTCCCTTGAACGCACCAAGCTCTTTGACATCTTCGTACCTTAGGACATGCCGTTGCCCTAGTTGAAGTTCTTTAAGACCAACTTGGTTTTTACACAAATTATGAAGAGTTCTCAGACTCCCCAAAGCACAATGAATTACTCCCTCCATGGGTCTTCAAACATTCGTTTCTTACAGGACAGAGACAATTGAAACATAACTGTCTGCTTTTGCCTCTCTTTCCTAAACTAGATATCGTGCGACTGTACATCAGCGCTCTGTTCCCTATTCATCTCATTATACCAGGGGCTGGCGCCTAGGGGGCGGGGCGCTCAGGACATGCTTGAAGAATGAGGAAGAATTAAGAGGAATTCTTAAAGACTGACCTCAGAACGCTCAAAGATCTACACAACCTCCCCTTGCTCACATCCTAACACTATGCACACATTGCAGTTCTCTAGGTAGCCACATTCTCCCCAGGGAACTTTCCAGAGTTTTGAAAAAGTTGACTCTGACACTTTTTGCCAGCGTTCTTGTGTTTTTTATGGAGGAGAGGATTTGGGGATGTCCTTACTCCTTTATTCCCACTTACATCCCCTGAGTACTGTTGGGCTTTGCCCACATCGTGTTTCTACCTCTATGCAGACTACGTCTCTTCCAGGTCTGGGCTGGGTGCCCATAGTGACCAATCCGTCAACCACAGTGATTTGCAGTTTGCTTGGTGTTTTTCACTTTTGTGTTTCGTGTTCCTCTCTCCTTCCACTAGACTAAGCTGCTCAAACACAAGGACTCTTGATTCACTTCTTATTTCTGTTGTTCGACACCAGGGATTCTCAGACTTTGGCTGGTATCTGGATCACTGAAGAGCTTTGTAAAAATAGAAGGATCAAGGGCCTGTCCTGCTCAACACACCAGGGCCTCTGTGTGCCTTATTAGCCCTCCAGGGGAGTCTGATGCCCACCAGCGTCTGAGAACCACTGATCTATGTCTAGATCATGTCCTTAACCCCCCCACCATGTGGCATCTTCTTTCTTAGGAGGGTGAGGATACCGCTGGCTGTCAGCCTGTGGCCATCACCCCTTACAAATCAGGAGTTTTGTCCAAAAGAAAACTACAAGAGAGACCCCTGTCCACTTTACCTGCGTGCTGAATGGGCCTTTCTCAGGTCTCCGGGGAGAGCCACTATTTCATCAGTCCGCTTCCAGCACATGCGTCTCCCGTGCTTGGCTGATGGTGGCATGAGCGGAAAGGCAAATGGATAAACCAACCCAGGGAGGCAAGAGCAGACGGGGGCTCCTCAGGGGCGGCCCTGAGGTGGCCACACCGGCAGCACCCAGCTGCCCCTTGCCCCTGCGGTTCTGAGCTGTGCTGAACTCACGATGAAGAGACACACCCCACAGTGGGCAGGGAACACGCTCACCTCCATATTTTTTTATCCATGGGAGCAGTAACAAGATCATCAGACAACTTACGGACATCCAGTTTGCTTTGCTGCCTAAAATAGTTTTGTTTCTAGCAACATCTGGACCTTATAGCCTGGTTTTTAGGGCAAGAGATGTGGTTTTCTGAATGTCAGTAAGGTATCCATTCATCACAGTCCATTTAAACTTCCTGACACTGGCTCTAACAGTAAATATGTTCGGAATTGTGCTCTCCGCAGGCATTGTTCTCAAAACGCAGGGAGACAAAGACAAATCAAATTGTCCTTAAGTATCTGTCACTTCGCCCTTTCCCCAGAGTCCAACTTGCCTCAGTGAAGAAAACAGAAAACAATTGATTGGTACTTGAAAATGATTTTGCTTCCTTCCCGCGGGGTCAAATGGTAATAAACTTCAGCCTCTTGCCATTCTTGCAGTTTGCTTATGTCCTGAAGATAACATAGTCCCACAAAGCACAGCTCGGTCCCCCGCGTTTATTTTCTTCCAGAGCTGTCGAAGCGTCGGCTTTACATCGTGGGCGAGTCACTGCCTGGCCGTTTCGAAATCGTAATGTTTCTTTTCATGTGCTTTCCAATGTTCTAGAGTATAAAAGGCTTGATGGCCTGGGAAGGCCAAACAGAAACCAAATTCGAAAACTTTCCGGGAGCCAGTTGGCCAGTTTGTGAAAAATCTTCGGTTGCATCAGATTGCATTAACATAACAATAGCCACTTTTGTTCAGAAATGGTGAGCTTCAAAGGAGCAGGGTATCAGTGACCTAAGGGACCCTGTAACACTTGTGATTTTTTTCTTCTTTCTGACGTGCCATGAGAATAAGAATGGCTGGGGAAAACCTTAAAGCTAACTGGTGAGAAAAATCAGTCTAGAGGGTGGTGGTAAGTGCTCTAGAAGTGACTGGGTGGGCTGAGAAGGCAAACTTGTTCCTCTCTAGTAAGATACAAACAAATTGTTTTTAAAATGTGACTCTCCTCGGACGCCCCCTGAATTCATTCCTCTTTCAAAGAGGTGGGGGCCAGGCAGATGAAAGCCGGGGCAGTCGGCCCTCAGAAAGAGGCCAACGGAGGTGCTCTGGTAAATGTTTAACTGGCCTCTGGGACTGGTCTCCGATCTGCAGCGTTTGCCCATTTCTGTGGTGTAAACACTCCCACCAGGGCCTATCTCAGGCTCCCGATGGGACGGCCGTGAAGGCTCTCACCGGCCCACGGGAGCCTTTCTAGCTCATTGCCGGATGAAGCATGGTGCGTGAGCTGCAGAGATAACACCGGAGGTTCAAACCACAGCTCCAGCCCTTATTAGCTGGGGAACCTGGAGAAGAGTTCCTGATTTCTCCCTGAGCTCCAGGTCCCTACCTGAAAAGTAGGTCTAGCATAGATCACTGTGAAGAATAAATGGATGATAGACGTACAGTACGTAAAACAGCAAGTGATAAACGATCAGTAACCATTAGCCATGTAGAGGTGGTGTTGTTATTTCTGTAACCTAAGTAGAAGAATGCCTATAGTTTCTTTTATTTAAAAAACAAAGGCAGAGTATTACATAAACAATTTTGCAGCAAGGGAAACATCACTGAACTCGTACCTAGGTAATGCATGCCTCAAAACTGCATCTTCTTCTCTATAATTAAACAAATCTTCCTCAACTTATGAAGGGGTTACATACTGATGAACTCATCACAAGTTGAAAATATCCTAAGTCAGAAATGCATCTGCTACATCTAAGCTCCCCACCACCGTAGCTTACTTAGCCTGGCCTGACTTAAACGTGCTCAGAACACGTATGGTCCCCTACAGCTGGGCACACTCATCTGGCAAAGAGCTTATTTGATATTGAGGGTGATATCAAATAAGCTCTTTAATCAGTCACCTGATTTAGAAAGGGTGGCGATGTCATGTAATTGATTGGATACTGTACTGATAGTGGCAGACAGGATGGCCAGGGGTGGTGACAGAAGGGCTGTCAGCTCACCTGTAGTTCACCCTTGTGATGGGGGATGGGGAGGGGGTGGTGCTGACTGCTCTTCAGCATCACCAGAGAGGATCATCTCATGTAACTCCAGCCTGGGAAAAGATCCGAATTCAAAATTCAACCTAAAGTTTCTACTGAATGTGTCTTGCTTTCGCACCAGCGTAAAGTCAGAAATTCAGAGTCGAACCATCTTGGGGACCGTCTGGATTTAAAACTCACCTTCAGAAGAGCTCTAGTTTTAGTGAGAATTTGACAGGACAGGGTATGGGCAGGAATTCTGAGTTCTCTCTGTTGTCTCTTCCCGGGAAGAAGCCGGACTATGACCTGTGCACCTAGACATTCACGCAACGCCCACATGCCACCCCCTGAGCCCTGCAAACACCTGCAGGGAGCTACAGTGCCCACGAAACAACACATGCTAACTTTGTGTGTTGTTTGGCTAAAGCTAGCCAAATAGACCAGGCAGCAATGACTGGATTCTTTTTTTTTTTTTTTTAATTTTTTTTTATTTCTAGGAGAGATAGAGAGAGAGTGTGAGCAGGGGAGGGTCAGAGAGAGAAGGAGTCACAGACTGAAACAGGCTCCAGGCTCTGAGCTGGCAGTCAGCACAGAGCCCGACGTGGGGCTCGAACCCACAAACTACAAGATCATGACCTAAGCGAAAGTCGGACGCTTAACCGACTAAGCCACCCAGGCGCCCCATTGATTGGATTCTTAAGACAGCATCAGGCAAATTCTTCCTTACTTCTACTGATGTCAAAATCTCTGCCCAGTTGGCCCACTGAAATGATTGTGTTCACTATGCACTGTCCCCTCTTTTCTCTAAGACTTCCGATCTCGTGGAGGTTCCAGAAGAAGCTGACGGGCCAGGAGGCGGGTATGACTCACGGAAACGCAGCAACAGCGGTGAGTGAGGGGCCGGGGAGGAAGACGTTGCCCCCGCACGGGAGTGAATCACACTGTTTATCGAGGTCTACAGGCCAGGAATGGTGACTTCCAGGTCTCTCCTTTCTCTACTAGCTCTGGAATTCGATCTTAGCAAGTGTTCATGTTCTGGAGGGAAACTGGGCACAAGTGCTAGTGGACCTCTGTGATTTGACTACAACATTCCCTTGAGTTCTGTATCTTGGGTTCTCATCCTATGGACTTAGCCACATCGGGGTCCAAGAGTCCCTTCTGGACCTGTTAATGCGTCATTTCCCCCACTGACCTACATTAGATTAGCAACCTGTTCTGGAAAGGAGCTACTCCCTGACACAGCTGAAGTACCTCAAATCAGGGAGGTGGTGGTACCAGGCGAGTATGGACCTCCCATGTGACTCTAACCCCGGAAGAGAAAACTAGGATTCAAAACCTTACTGGTATGATCTAGCCAAACGTCCCATATTAATATTATTTAACTCTCTAATAGCCATGCCCCTTGTTAACAATAACTTCTAGAATTTTCCTCAAATGCTAACTACATATATCGCTTGCTAACATTAAGAAAGAACATTAAGCCAGAGTTTAAAGAAACAACCAGCCCCTACGGACGAATCTTGCCGAGCCTCTCTGATGTTAGCCACTACTTAATCTCCACTCATTTATGCAAAAGGTACTTATGAAGTGTTTGCTCTGCCCAGCAAAAGTACGTGAGTCACAAAGCTGCCCTCAGGGTGCCCATGACCTAGCAAAGTCGTGGGTTCTGATTGGCGTTGTTAATCTGGGCTGGGTGTGTTCTCCTGGCGGAAGTGACCCCTGCCAGCTCCAGTCTTCGGGAAGCATGGGGATTGGGTAGATTTTCCACTTGACGAGTTGCCTCTGCCTTTTCCGGGTTGGAAGCAGAAGGTCTGTGTTCAGTACCCCGTAGCTGCTTTAGCAGCAGCTGTCTTATAAGATATCTCTTCTACTTCCTTAGCTCTAGGAATTCGTTTAGCTGTCTTCTCCAGTTAGGATGGTGTATCTGTGATTCCCACAGGAGAATCCTCCATGACCCTCCTTCCTAAATAAGCATCAGTGTTCAGCAGGGTCCCCCTTGCCAAGCCCACCTGCATCTGCTGAAGCTCACTGCTAGGGCAAGGACACTTTAGCATCCTGTGGGGAAAACTGCACTTTCAGGCCAATGCAAACGGTCATTGAGCACGTAGTCGCACCATTAGAGAGACAAATCAGAGCATGCTGGCCGCCAGGGGAGCGTCACAGAAGGGCAGTGCTGCTGCAAGAGTCTGTCTAGCATGTAGACAGCAATTTGGTCGGCAACCCCAGGATTCTTCAGCATCTGAGCACAAACCCACCAGACACTGGTATTAACCTAGACCTTCACTTTCACACTTCTAGTCTGAGCAGCTGCTCTATCCTCTGAGCCTGACCTGCGTCCTTTGCTGACACATCTCACCAAATTGCTGATGGTCTGCTCATCACTAACTGCACCAGACGTACTTGGTCCTCGGCCCCTCCCTGCTCTGGGGGCTGACCACCGGACTTCACACAGCGGCCACGTGACCTCCCAGCAGTGCCCTTGCCTCTCTGCCTGATCTCCTCATCTCGGAAATGAAAATAATGATAATACAGAATCCCTAAGGTGTCGTGGTCATTAAATGAAATAACAAATGTAAATAACTATTCCATACATTGATGACTCTGAAACTTCGGGTCACTCTGCTGCCTCCAGGTGCTTATTGTCCACTGAACATGGCCATCGTGAACGTGGAATAGACATCATAAAGTTAACATGCCCAAACCGGACTCGTGATTCCCTCACCCACCCCAGCCACACCAACTGGCTCTTAGTTGTCTCTGCTCAGTAAGTAGGAACTCCATTCTGCTAGGTGATCAGGTCAAGACTTTTGGCGTCAGACTTGACTCTACCCTCTTAGCCAGTCTCATCGCCAGTCTGTCAGTAAATCTTATTTTCTGCTCTCCACATTTGTTCCCCACATGTAGCCACCACTTCCCTCCCTGCCTCAGGCATCCTGGCCAGCGTTAATGATGCTCTTGCTCAACCATTCACCATTCCTCAGTAGTTAAGGTCTCTATGTGCCCTGAAGATTACTCAAAAAGTGGCCTTCAATAGGGTTTTATAATGAGAGGAGCTCTATTTAGGGATCATCCACACGAAGCATGTTTGCTCTTAATAAGCTCACCATGAGCTCATCGAGTGTCAGAAGTTCAGCCTAGGGCCCCGCTGCTCTCAAATGTAGCCCGTGGACCAGCAACCTGGGTATCACTCGAGAAGCTATTAGAAATGCAGAACCTCAAATTATTGGGGCGCCTGGGTGGCTTAGTCGGTTAAGCGTCCGACTTTCGCTTAGGTCATGATCTCGCGGTTCGTGGGTTCGAGCCCCGCGTCGGGCTCTGTGCTGACTGCCAGCTCAGAGCCTGGAGCCTGCTTCGGTCTGTGACTCCCTCTCTCTATGACCCTCCACTGCTCACGCTGTTTCTTTCTCTCCTAGAAATAAATAAAAATAAAAAAATAAAAAAAAAAAGAAATGCAGAACCTCAGGCCATTTCCAGAGCTGCAGAATCAGAATTTGCATGTGAATCTTATTGAAGTTCAAGAAGTAGGATAAGAAGTCATTTAGTCTAACTCTCTCCCTGCCAACGTACACAATACACACACACACACACACACACACACACACACACACTTTATAGATGAGGAAACTGAGGCACAGAGTAATACACTGAAAGACACAGTTGAATATTTGCCATTTCTTTTCTGTTAAGAGGCATTTTCAGAGCCTTATTCAAAGAAATCTGGGGAAAGAATTTAGCTAGCAATTAACCTCTAAAAAGCTTTGGCAATCTATTAACTATTCCTTTGATCAGCAATAGCTTTCTTGACAATGTGCCCTTTGAAGGTAGAGGGATTAATTATGCGGCAGTTTTGGCTCAAAAACGTGTTCCTTTGATTGGATTTAATCCCCTGTCCATGCAGTTTGGGAAACAGCACAGAGAAAATGCACCACTCTGTGTCCAGGCGGCCACAGGCCTCCCCACAGTAGTGGAAGGAGGGAGCTGACTTTTCAGAAAGAGCGCTTGGCTTCCGCCACAAGCTGTTCTGTGTGACATGTTTCATTTAAGTTCTACAGAATACGCAGTGCATACTGACATTATTTCTGCCAGCCAAGGGTCATGTCAAGATCCTTGAGGAAGACTTCCAAAGGCACCTTGGAAGAGGGTGATTATTCACACCCCTTTCTTCCTTACGAAGCATAAGAAGTCTGTTTTCTCTCTCATGGAAGATTTGGGGAGGGTCCGGCTATTTGTTTCTAGTTGCTGTTTTCAGCACTACTTGCGGACGCACCAGAAATATAGAAGTTGTTGGTCTTCACCTTTGGCCAGAAATGCCGCTGGAAGCAATCTGATGAGCAGACGGAGGAGTAAGTCTAGGCTGCCCGTTTCAGCTCAAATAATGCCAAATAATGATGGCACGGGCTGCCTTCGATATAACTGCATTTCAGTGTGACTCCGTGTGATTATAAGTTTCTTGGAAGAGACGCAGAGGGACTAGAACATAAGCAAGACAAATTCCTAGAAATATTCTTCCAAACAACTGGGTTAATCACATCCACTGGAGGATATCATGGAGCCTGATGATACCTTACTTTTCACTAAAGCAGAGAAATTTTGCCCAGAAAGGAAAAAACGGCAAGTTCGGGTTTGGAAATGTTATCCTTGCCTTTAACATGCTCTGGGGTTTTTGTTCATTTTGGGTTTTTTTTAAAATAATTTTAATGTTTATTTATTTAGAGAGAGAGAGGAGTGTGGGCAAGGGAGAGCCAGAGAGAATCCCAAGCAGGCTCCTCTCTGTCAGCTCAGAGCCCAATGTGGGGCTCCATCTCACAAACTGTGAGATCATGACCCGAGCTAAAATCAAGAGTCAGACACTTAACCACCTGATCCCCCCAGGCGCCCCTGATGTGCACTGGTTTTATATCATAAATTTTTATTTGTCCCACAAAATGAAGCAAATATTTTAATGGCTTCTTTGACAGATACCCTCGAATCTAGAGGTCAAGTATCTAGAGCAGGTTAAGGTCTGTTTAAAAGCATGGAGGACTCTTTCCAGCTATGTGGAGGGCTGGATGTTTAGGGAAATTGTTTCTTTCTCTTTTTTAATGTTTATTTATATTTGAGACAGAGAGAGACAGAGCATGAGTGGGGGAGGGGCAGAGAGAGGGAGACAGAATCTGAAGCAGCTCCAGGTTCTGAGCTGTCAGCACAGAGCCTGACGCGGGGCTCGAGCCCACGAACCGTGAGATCATGACCTGAGCCGAAGTCAGACACTTAACCAACTGAGCCACCCAGGCACCTCTAGAGAGATTTTTTCTACTTCAGCAGACACCTAAAATTACTGGGTAAACAAATTTAAAAGAAAGTTCTAGTTAATGCATGGCTGAGCTGGCACCGAAGTATGGCAATTCCATGGCATCTAGAAATGGCAATAAAGCCTGAATCTGGAGACATGAGCAGGTAAAGACCAGTGTTCACTCTGCACATCCCTGGAGCCTCAGATTGGAGAAGAAAAGCCCCATGTATAGTCAATAGAGAACAAAACCTGATGAGCAGACAGAGGAAAAGTTTTGATGAGAAACTCTTTGGGAAAATCCCAATACCCCAAACTAAGTACCATTAGTGGCACAGGGGGAAAAGAATGCCCTCCAGAGGAATTTAGTAAAGAAAAATGCTATACTGGCCTCAACTCAGGTAGCAAAGAAAAGAAAAATGTTGGAGGAGGGGCGCCTGGGTGGCTTAGTCGGTTAAGTATCCGACTTTCGCTTAGGTCATGATCTCACGGTTCGTGGGTTCGAGCCCCGCGTCGGGCTCTGTGCTGACTGCCAGCTCAGAGCCTGGAGCCTGTTTCAGAGTCTGTGTCTCCCTCTCTCTCTGACCCTCCCCTGCTCACGCTGTCTCTCTCTCTCTCC